AAGCATCTTCAAGATGCTTTTTCGTTATCTCCACATCTAACTGATGAGGAATTACGACAAACTCTCCACCCTTATCACTATCGGAAAGTCTTATGGTTTTCAACCTTATCAGGCCTCGTACCTTTTCTGATGTGAGGGGCACATTATACTTCCACGTGATTTCTGTGCGGTTGGTCTCTACGTGACATACTTAGTGGAAACCTCATAGAAAGCGGTGAGTGTGCAAAGCTGTGTTCAAAGTGATTGAAATCTTGGTTTGGAGTTTCTTTGTTTGGTTATGGAGGCGTCTGGCCGAGTGAGTTGCTATCAACTTGACCTTTCCAGGCTCTGAAGAAGGCGAAATCCGCCGAAACGTCAGCTTAATCGTGAACAAAGAATAGTAACACCTCGCGTTTGCTCAACAAAAATACGAAGAAAATCACTTGATCAATGCCGAGATTAATAGAAAGTCGGTCGTGGCAGTTACTGAAAGTGGCTTATTTTTTGTGTACTACGATAAGACGGTAGATTTATGAACTACTTGAGGTTCCCATTATCTCTCATCACGGTGAAGTATCTGGACGTCTTCACGTGCAGATTTACAGGTAAAATAGATATAAATTTTGTCCAATTTTTCCTCGTCTTTTGTCGAACATCACACTTTCATTTATGCTTTATAAAAGGTGAACGATTGGCTTCTTATGTGAAGAATTTGGTCAAATTTAAGCGAGAGATTCTGCCTTTTATAGGGTTTCCAACAGTGATGCAGATGAAATACAGTCTTCTAAAAATGAGTGCAACGAGAATTTGGAGCGAAGAGAAGGGCTTATTGGGAAGCTGATAACTTGTAGAGTGAGTACTGCAGGAAATGTTTCCTGTTTTCTGTTTTCTTCCTACAAATTTCAGTATTTCCTATCAGATTTTCTACAAATATCAATGGATTGTATCTCACGTCACATTATATCACTCGAGGGAATTAGTGGGAAACGACATGAAGAGAAGACCCTACGGAATTAGCAATGGTGCTGACCAGCTAGCGAATTCAAAACTCGATGCTCATCCACTTAACATTCCTATTAGAGATCCTGTGTGCAGCCGAGATATGGGTGACATCTCACAGTGACGTGGAGAGTTGGACGCCAATGCGTAAACTGGTCAAACGGTGTGTCGTCTGACACTTACAGGCAACATGTGGGCTAGTTTCGTTGTTAAGGCACTCTGAAGTTATTCCATCTTCGAGATCTAGGTGAATATTTCGGGTCATTGATGGACCCTTCATGTAATCAGAAGTGTTACAAAGAAACGAAAGAGCGATGAGGTTGACTTCAAGAGGATAAAAGTGCTCTCTTGGAGAACTAAATACAATATGAGCAGATGTTTTTCTTAAATAATGTAATAGCTTTTGTCAGTCGAACACCTTCGCGATTATCAGAGATTTATGAATCACAGATTGATAGTCGTAGGCGTCACCATGAGGGAAATAATCCACTGCCTTCCACTGCAGTTACGAGGGTTATACTTACCAGTATACTTGGATGACCTGCCTTCAGCGGTCCTTTCTCTCTCACGCTGTCATCGTCCAGAGTGATGATCTGCTTGAACATGGCGACGTGTGCGAGGTCCGTTCTGAATTTCTAGAATAGTTTCGGACCGCGAGTGTAGATGGGTGACGTTAGCTACAAACAAGTTCTCCCATCGTTTGGATGGTCTTTCAAAAGGAAGCTTACATTGTCTTGGTGTCCTCCACTGTTCTTTTCGTCCATCTGTCATCTGCTCTTCTTATTGTGTGAGCGGCACGTTTGATTCCGAAGATGGGGTAAGTTTTGAAGATCTGACGTACGTATCCTTCCATACGTTCTGTGTGCCGGTTAAATTTCAAAAGACATCCTTCAAGCGCTCTTTGGATTGTGCGCAGACTTTTTGCCGTGATTGAAGTACTAGCTCATATCTGCTCAATAACAGCGCGCTAGGAGGACTGTTGAATCCAAAAGCTGAGGACGGAATTTTTCATTCGTTAGGTGTTCAGTGGTTTCTTGGGGGTTCCCGAAAGCGCCCCGTGCTGCTGTCCTTCTGTCTAGTTCCTTCCCCATGTTGCTCTTCATATCTACTGAACGTCCATGCTACAGGTAAGATGTGGTCTGTGTAATCAGAGAACCGTCCAATTCGATTTGTTCGCCATGGCAGTATTGATTCTTTATGAGTTGGGTCTTCGCCGTATTCAAGCGCCCTCCAGTTTTTCTTCCACTTTGTTGAGTTAATTGGACATCATCTCAGCTTCAGTCGTACTCTTCAACAAAATCATGTCATCCGTGAAACGGTTTGACAAAAATTTTTCATCAGTGCGTATGCCTTTTTCATCCCAATCGAATAACTTCGTTATCCAGTACAGTGCGGTAGTAAACAGCTTTGACGATATTATGTCGCCTTGTCGAACGCCTTTCCCTGTGGGTGTGGTAAAGGATAGGTGAAACAGTTCTGCTTTTGTGCTGCAGTTGCGATAACAGTCAGTTAGTTTACTAACATGAAATGCGTCCACTCATTGGTCGACGAACACTGATAAAGCTGCATTTGTTTCGACTCTATGGAACGATTTCCCGTAGTCGATAAAGATAAAGGCAAAAAACAAATGGCACCTCGACGGACTTCTATGAGCCGTGAAGCAGTTTGGATATGGTCCATATGGTAGAATTTCTGTTGGAATCCTTGGTTAACTGATTATGCCTTATCTCGGACAATCCTCTTAGGAAAAGGGGGCCGGTGAGATGTTATATCTTACGAAAAATGAGTTGGTACCTAAATGAATTGTGAAGGTAAATCGTCAAAGTATCCAAGTGCATGTAGTTTAAAATGAATAGAATATAAATATGCGGAGTACTACTATTTCAGTGCTGAGATACTTATTGCTTTACATGAAGTTAGATGACTTGCAAGTGGTTGATTCCGTTCATTCAGATGTTATCAAATTTTCTTCTTTCAGGTTCGCATAAAGAAAGCCTCATCGTTGCCAGAGTCATTGTCGCATTTCGTTTTCTGTCAATACTCGTTCTTCAACCACTCTGAGATGCTCGTCGTAGCTCCTGTTTTCAATCCACCTCAAACATCCGAATCGCAGATTCAGCAAACCACATTCGTTTTCGATCATGAGAAGGTTTGATGGCAACAACACTTACCAGTGCTAGTAACTGCAATATACCAATAGGCTTTGGTTAATTTCAGGATTTCAAAGTTATAGTGACTGAGGAATTTTTGGAATACGTCCAAGACGATGCTTTGTCGATTGAGGTTTGGGGACATCGAAACGGTGGTGTTTTAGAAATGGGTGAACCGAGACTCGATGCAGAGGAAAAAAACAAATCGTTGCAAGTAAAATTTTTCAATTGGAATTATCAATGGCTAGTAATTCTACTAAGTTTTCTAGGCTCGGTGGTCCGAGGTCTCACGGCGGCTTGAGTTATGGACGGAGTTCCGAGAGTTGAACGAGGCCGGGCAATGGGTACCAGTAGAGGTTCGGCAGCAAGATGACGTGGCTACTGGTGGAGTTCACCAACTTAGACAGGTAAACATACATTGCTGGTTTTGAAATGACTGATATTATATAATTTATGATTTCTTATAGGGACAACAAAGACGTCTCGTAGTGGGTTTGTCTGTTCCTCAGCACGGTGCTGGTCTACCACTTGGAATTGATGCTATCACTAGTGTCAGCATTGGCTGTGTATGCGTTTGTGCCTCTAGTGATCAGGCACTGGATAGTTACCAAGTAATTTTATAAAGTTTTATGTAGCTTAGCTATTGCTAAGTTATTTGTTTATCTATTTAAGGAGGAAGATCTTGAAAGAATTCGCGCCCAATGGACACTTGCACTGAAGAGCCGACAAAAATACCTTGAACAACAACTAGATTCGGTATACGCCTAATATTATTTTTTTCTACGATTTTGGTGTAGTTATTACTAAATAAGGTTTTTTTTAGCTCCCTACAAAATCCAATAAATGCGAAGCCGAGCTCGAACGTGAGCACTCGCTTATGGGGCAGTGGGTTTCACTAACAGAAGAACGCACAGCAGTGTCGATTCCTGCACCCAACTCTGATATACCTGGTGCTCCATGTGATTGGCAAGCGATTTTTTATGAGGTACTTAATTCATGTGTCATAAATTCAGCGCGACTCCATTCTAGGATCCCCCCACCTGGTGTAGAAGAACACGTCCCGGTGTTGTTCTTGGACTTAAATTCTGATGATGTGACTGGAGATATGACGAGTGAAGAGGTCAGTGGACTTGGAAATTGATATAGATTTTGTATCTTTTCCTTTGTTTAAAACTTTCGTGTTATATAGATGTACGCATACCTACTATATATGTATATCCTTATATACGTGGTCCTAAGTCGTTCTGGTACTTGGGACAGCACTGAGAATTCCCGTTATGTAGAATGGTAACTGAATTCCGTAGTGCTTGCTTCTTTGTGAATGCATTCGGTTCAGATTTCTCCTAAGATTGCGGGTTTAAATTCATTTTTGCCTATGGAGCAGAATGGTGGTTTGTTGGTCATGCTTCCAATTATATGCTTTGATGAGAAGGAGGTATACCTTTTAGGTTATCTATTTCTTTTTATGGGATATTATTGACTTTAAAAGTCGTTGCAGTTAACAGCAACTTGTTCATGGGATAGTTCATTACATAATCAAACGGCATTAAACGTTCCGTCAACGTCAAATGAACGAGTTTACGCAATCATAAAGGTGAGCGATTAATTAAGCTTATTGCTCAATTGAAATGAGTTTGTTCAGGTTAGCGTGCGACTCTCCCATCCCTGTTCCATGGAAATTGTACTTCGCAAACGGGTTTGCCTCAATATTTACAAGAAAGCTAGTCTCACGGATCGTATTCGAAGGCGAATTGTTGGATCAGACATCCTTAACCGTACTTCCGTATACTATGATGTCGTGGCTCATCTACCCAAGGTACGTGGAACAAGTGTTAAAGCTCACGCTTCGAGTGGAGCAGCCATGGAATAAGTTTTGCGTATTGATCTTCGCCGTCGCATTATCGCACCTAATTCCGATTGTAACCATGTGTCAATTTCTCTTATATGAACTTGTTTATTTCTATCATAGTACTTTGCCATAAGTGAAGACATCGACTTTTTCATTCTTTATTTATGAAGTTTTCAGTACGGCTGTATATTATCATTGCAAAATTTATTTGAAAGAGCTTAAGACGAGATTTGTAGTCCTCTCATGATATGGAAGAACGATCCTCTTTGGCTCTAATGGCGGCACGTCATACAGCTTCTTCAGAAGAAGAACAGTGTGTGGTTAACGAAGATGGTCATCAGTCAAATGGGCACCTAAGGTTTATTTGTCGCTGTTTTTATTGACAACTGTTACATTTTATTTTTTTCTTTAGGCTTTGCGTTAAATGACTAATCAGTTCATTCTTATTCTATAGATATTATATTATATAATTTATTACAAAATCATCAGAATAATTGTAATAAGCATTCAATTGACGTTCTGTTAACAGGCTCTTTGTTGTGGATTGAAATGATATCGATGTTTTATTTTGTTTTGCTCACTGAAGACTTCTATTCAGCTTGCATTTTCATTGAAGCATGTCATTAATAGCTATTACAGTTATATTGAAGCGTACACGAAGTCAATACAAACGGTTGAGTCGTTGCTCAAACTAGATCGTCTACGGCAGGAAGTTGCTATCACTAACGTTCTAAGCAGGTGGACATGTCTCTTAAATAGTTTATATATCTAGTTGTAAGCCACGCAGATTCTGGATGCAATTTGTTTGTTAATTTATGAACTACTGTTGATTTCGAACTTTAGAAGGGAACGACAACAACGTCTCTCTCATTTTGGTCATTCTTCTCAATCTTTCCGAATGAAGCGCGCTGTTAGTCTTCCAAACGCAGATTCTTTGGTAAGTAGCAAATCGTTATTGTTTCTCTTTTCTTTTAAAGGTATTCTTTGATTATTGGACCTATAAGATAAAATGTGCATCAGAAGGGTTCGTGGTTGAGCTGAATCCGATTGTCGGTTTACTAGCGCCATTCGATATTTTATATAACATCGTAATATACCACGGATCTCCCTCGCATGAGGGATTTCGACCTGGTTAGTCGCAGAGCTACGTAGCACGTTCCCAGATGGAGGATAGGAGATTGGTCGCGGTCCAAAAGAGACCTTTGCCTCCCTGAAACGCAGGTGGATCTCGGGATCGAATTCGTTTCTGCTGCGCCGATTTGGCACATGCTTTCTGTATTTACGAGGCGTATTCATTCACACATGTGTGGGTGTGTTCAAGTTTATGCGGATTGTATTCTACGAGTCAATTCGGCCAAAAGGGTGCAATCCTGTGATAAGGAGGTACACAAGAGGCGGTTAGGAATCGCCTCCAACAAATAGGCTGTCCACTCTGGGAGAGATTGGCAGGCTACCCATGAGTGTACCCAACCCCCACGTTCAAAACCCAGAGGATAAGGTGCGATGTCATCGGACTGGCTGAGACAAGACGTCGCCACCCATTCAACGCCGTCTATGACGCCGAACAACTGCTCCTTGGAACATGCGACATTAGGAGAGTTGGCGGCGTCAATGTTCTCGTCAACATGAATTTGGCATTGAACATCGAAATGTGGATCAATACCGGCTCTAGCAATCTTCGTTGTTACGCCCCAACATGAAACTATGACGAAGAACTCAAAGGATAGAGTTTCAATAAACCACGGCATAAGTGACCGATATATTTATTCATGTTTTTTTAACTGTTCTTGTTGAATAGATGTCAAGTTGGTACAATTTGTTGTTGTTGCTCGATAGCTGACGTTTCAGCGATTTCGCTTTCCTCAGAGCCGTAATGTTGCCATTGGGACTCGTGCATGGTTCTGAGGAAGGTAAAATAGGCGAAACGTCAGTCATCGACCAACGACGACAACAACAACTTATACCAACCTCGCATCAGCTTAGCAAGATCGCGTCGTTTGACGGTGACTGTATACATATCTGGTCTTTGCACAGTCTCGCGGTGGCCAGCCGATGTATCGAACCAATACTACTATTCTCCCAGATAAGTCTGGTACCAATTTGCCGACCCCAGAGCAATGGAAGGCTTGGTGGGCCATGGGCGCTGGGATCGATTCCACATATGTGTTGCAAGCCGCCTGCGATCACGGCGCCACACGCGATAAGTTCATGCGAGCATAGAAATAAATATATCGGTTATGACGAAAAAGATGTCGAAACATTCTGTACGAACTTGGAAAAGTTCAACAGAGAAGACCGTACATTCTTTAAGGTCATCATTGGTGATTTTAACGCTAAGATTGTACCAAGAAGAACGTCTGAAGAACGTCACAGTGTGACCCACGAATTAGAATGGCACGAGTAGGGTTAACACCTGTCTCACTTTATGATGAGGACCGAGACCATCCATGTTAATCCGCAGTTCCAGAAGCCCCACCCTCAACTCTGGACGTGGGAATCTCCCAGTGGAGAGTACCATAACGAAATAGACCACGTCATAGTAAATCGAAAGATTTCCTTACCGATGTCGCTGTTGTCAAAAATTCTACACGGGATCAGCCCTTCGCCTCCTTCGTACAAGATTCCTTTATCGCAGAAAGGAGAAAAAAGGTGTTCAATTCAGAAAACGAGGTCGCAAAACCACCGTAAACTGGGACTTTTTCAGTTCACTATTCGGCTTTTGGGAGGATACCGTTGTCGCTAACACTCACGAAGAATACCTTCGGCTCATTCAACATCTTCACTTTAGCCCTATGAAAGCTGAGAGTTCGAAAGTCACCAAAAGACGTCTGTCTCCAGCAACACTCGAGACGATATGCTAGCGCTGAATCGCACGTGATCCAGGCTCCCGCCAACTCATATCCAAAGTTGTAAAACGATGAAGACAGGCGATAAAAGAATATCTTAAAGAGAGATGAGCAACAGTTGTTGTCGACACTGCAGAGGCTGCGAAAAGCATCGCAAGTCCAACCGAAAAGTAGCCCAATACGGAACCAAGATAGCTGTACCCTGGCGCCCAGAGGGAGCAGTTACAGCTTTCGGAAAGAGTATGGAAGAAAATCATTTACGATTACTACTCAGATCTCTTGAGCACCCATGTACTTCTGCTCTCATATGAAATAAAGGAAGGTAGACATGTCGTACCACCGGTTCTTCCTTCTGAAATCCGGCATACTATTTCGTACGTGAAAAATGAAGGAGTGCCAGGTCCAGAGGGGATATGATCTGAACACCTGAAGAACCTTCCGCCACTCCTCGTAAACAGACTAGCTCGGCTGTTCACACGTTACCTGTCTGAATGCAAGGTCCCTACTCAGTGGAAGACCAGAATGACTGTGCTATTGTTCAAGAAGGGTGACCTACACGACATCGGCAACTATCGCCCAATCTGCTTGCTGTCTGTCGTCTACAAACTTTTCACTCGATTTATCCTAAACAGGATTGACAGAACACTGGACGAAGGACGGCCATGTGAGCAGCAGAGTTTTGAAAAGGATTTAATACGATGGATCACATCCACACAATAACAAGGCTCATTGAAATATCGCGAGAGTACAGGAGACCGCTCTGTCTCACTTCCATCGATTTAAAGGAGGCTCTTGACTCAGTTGAGATAGAAGGAATCATCGAAGCTCTTGATAGTCAAGGAGTCTCTACTCAGTAGATAAAGATTCTTCGTGAGCTTTACGAAAATTTTACATCCAAGATATCACCATTCTACAACGATATTAACATTAACGTTAAAAGAGGAGTTAGGCAAGGCGATACCATCTCGCCAAAACTATTTACCGCCACCTTCCAGAACGTCATGCGAACATTGGAATGGGATAATATGGGAGTGAAAATCGATGGCTGGCAGTTACATCATTTTCACTCTTCTAATGACATTGTCCTTATAACACCAAACATTAGCCAAGCGGAACGTATGCTTAACGACTTTGTTAAAGTCTGTTGAAAGACTGGTCTTCGACTAAATATCACAAAAACGATGTTTATGAAGAACGGTTTGATCTCCTATACCCATTCACGCTGAACGGAATGAATATCTTCGAATTCTCCAGTTATGTCTAACTAGGTCGGTAGAGCAGCATGAGGTACGACGATGGTGCAGTGAAGAGAACAAAGAACACCCGACTCCGTGCCCACCCTTTCGACTCCACGATACTTTCTGCCTTAACGTATGCGTCATAAAATTGGTAGCTTCGTAAGTAGGATGAAAGGTCACTCAACGAAAGGAACGCTTAGTCGAAAGGACATTGTTATGGGTATCCTGTTTCACACAAGTAAGGGGAGGGATCTGAAGCTGCAACCTGCGTCAACGATCAAAAATCGAAGATTTTGTTCTATACGGCAAACTGTCGAAGATATGGTTGACCGGACACGTAATGCGTGTGAGTCACAACCGATGGTCAAAAGTCGTTACTGATTGGATTGCTCGGGGTGTCGAATATACCGCTGGAAGACCACTTCCCAATAGTCAGAGTTTTCCACAAGAAGCCCAGAGGAAAAGTGTGATGCTCAAGGAGTGTTTAGGGCAAGCGAAATCATCTGGGCTACTCTTGAACGCGACGGGGAAAATTAAGGACTCACTGAAACCTGCTCTATTCACTGGACGATCAGTGGGGCGATAGGTGATGCTGGTAATGATAATGTGGGCTTTGTGAGGACAAATCTTTTGTGCGTAGTACAAGAAATATCCAGATTCTTGCTTTCATACTTGACAGCCTGTCCTATTTGGTTGTATATCCTCAGCAAAATCCCCATTTCTGGCAGTTTTGCTGGTTTGACCATCTTGGTTTTCTGGAGTCCCGGGGTCGGCCTAGCCAAAGTCTGCCCCAAGCCTTAACCACCATAGGCAGTCCCCGGCCTTTGTGGATCAGAGTGAGATTTGCCACCATGCAAATAGTTTGATACCAAGACGGTGGTGGATCCTGGTTTTGGTTTACTCTTAGCTCGGTTTCCTAATGGAAACTTTGGTCTACTCCTCAGCTTGGGAAGCCCTGACTGAACTGTGTATCTCCCCGCTGTGTATCGCAGCCTTACGCTCAGGAACGTCTCCGAGCCTCGATGAGGAGGCAAGCCGTTTGGTGGGGGCAAGAAAATTATTTTTGACCTCAACCCCATGTAAGCTCAACAGTTCAAAAACGTGTTTATTATTTTACTACCGTGGTTATTAAGAGGATCGGTTTGAAAATTGTTTGCACGGAATGTAGTTTAAAAGTATAAATGACATATGGAAAATAATTTTAGCCACTCAACCAGTCAGTAACGACAAGAAACGGTGAAGCGCCTTCAGAGCAACAACGACTACCGCAACCACCAGATACACCAATGTCTGTGTCTACAACATCAATGGGTAGGAGTAATTAATTGTTTCTATGCACTCGTTAACGGTTCTTTGGCTTTTTTCCACATTTGATTAAAAATCATTTTCGATCAGAATCAGACGTGTGAAAATAGCCAAACGCTGTATGCGAATTTGGCATGTAATTGTTACCACTCTATTTAATTTAACTTTTTCACTTAGTATGAATATGTTTCCTTTGCTATTGGCTTGTTCTACCAATCATTTAAAACTGAGTTTTTATAAACACTGCTTTGCTAGTATAACAACAATGTTTGTGGTGGTGATTCACAGCTATCATTTATTTTCGAAATAGGTGAATACTAAGCATTTCTGTTCGCACTTACTTTTTCCTTCATTACGTTATCATTGCCTGGTATTCTGTCTAC